GGGGGGGGGGGGGGGGGGGGGGTATGTCTACAATTATTTATCTCACAACGCTATGAGAAAATTCCAATCCATTGTCTAATAAGTACGTTCTCAAACAGAGATGCCATTGAAATAAACCCAGTTACGCACACAGTAATTATTGTTGAAGGAAGTAGGATGCAATATATTTTTCTGAAAAACAAAAGTGAAACAATATAAACCAAATTTGAGATGGACTACCTTTATATTTAAAAGCATGAAGCAGTATCATGTGGAAAAGTATAATAAGCTCCAAAGACCAATTACACAATTTCGTTCATAAACTTCTATCTATATCACTCTCGTCCTCAACTTCTACTTATATCACTTGGTACTCTTAACACACTACCATTCCGAATTTTAACTACAAACAATACATTGATATAGATAAGTTTATGCCGACAATGAAGATTCTTTATGTCATATATCGGGATGGAAGATGGAATCGGGGCGGTTGGCTGCGGAGCCTGATGAAAGGCGTGCCAAATAAACTTGAAATAAATAGTTAGATCAATGCCTAAAGAAAATAAATTTGACTTGTAGTTTAGATATTGAATACTAAGTTTAGGCAAAACAACAGATCATTGAACAAATATTCACCATATTTAAATCTTTAAACCACCAATTATTCTGCCACATTCATCTTTCAGCAAAGGGACATGCTTTTAAGCAGTTGAGTTGGTACTATCGGACGGAGAGTGAGACTGGTAAATAGGAAAGGATAAAATGGAAGTCAACAAGCCTAAGTTCCATCCTCATTAAAGCCCCCTCATCCATCCTGTGTTGAGGAATTCTTAAACCTTACTTTGCCTTCCACATGAAATTTATCCACAAGATGTTAGTTAAGACAGAGAGGGGTGGTTTTCCTAGTTGAAATGGTTAAACGAGAGAGGACTGTTCAAAGGAGAACAAAGGGACTGTCTCGCTCTAGTGATTTAAAGCTAAATTTCACAACCGTTCTCACGTGTTCCACATTTCTAGTAATCGAATTGCAAAAGAGAACGTTCATACGAGACTTCTAATACAATCACCAGATAGAATCACATGAAAAAAAAAATTAATATGTTTCGATGGAATCCACAGTCTGGCAAAACCACGAACACTAATCAGTAGCCAATAAAAAAACCTAACTGCCTCCGAACACTAACAGGGAAACCCAAAATCACAAGATAAGAAGTCTATAAGAGTTACCCAGAGCTCCACTCTGTTCATATACAACAACTGAACATCATAGTTCAATAGGAGTATTCAGTGAAACCAACACGAGGTACAGAACATAAGCCCTAACCTGACGATAGATATCTCTGATAGACGAATCTTTATGCACGATCGAAGAACTCAGAATCCCATGGAAATTAAACCCCGGCTTCTAACGAATATAAAATATATAAGAAACGACAAAAGGAAATCAGAGGCGAAGTGGAATTACTCGGGAGTAATCACTAAAAACAGAAAAATTAAGATGTAATCCAAACAAATTGGCGCAAATAGAGGAAGGAATTTGAAAACCTAACCTGAACAGTTTTAGAATCAGTGAGGAAAGAGAAGCAGAGCCAGAGAGAAGAGAGAGAACGTTTTCTTCTCTCTGCCCGTGTAAGGCTTACAACGCTGTAGTTAATAAAATGGATTATATCAAGCACAGAACCCCCTTGCACTGCCGAGCATATCCACGTGCCTTCTTTCTATTGGTTTTTAATTTCTTTTTTTTCCTTGTTAGACGACTCTCAAACTTGGTAGGATATTGCCCCTTTTATTATAAGCACTCATGGCTTTGCTTTGGACTTCCCAAAGGCTTCGTAAGAATGAAGGGAGTATTCTTTGATTATAAATCCACGATCATTCCCTCTATGGGCTTCCCTCCTCGTGCTAATGAACAGAGTATTCATCGATTATAAACCCATGGTCATTCCCTCTATGGGCTTCCCTAAAGGCCTCATGAGTATTCATCGATTATAAAGACCATTCCCTAGCCTTCTCCAAAGGCCTCATGCGAATGAAGAGAGTATTCCTCTATGTCTAGCCTTCCCCAAAGGCCTCATGCGAATAAAGAGAGTATTTCTCTATGGGCTTCCCTAAATGCCTCGTACCAATGAAGATAACATTCATTGATTATAAACCATGATCATTCCCTGTGGGCTTCCCCAAAGGCCTCGTACCAATGAAAAAGAGTATTTCTGGATTATAAACCCACGATCATTCCTTATGTTAGGATGATGAAAGTCCGAATGAGTTTATAATCAAGAAATATTCTCTCTATTGGAATGAGGCATTTTAGGGAGCACAAAGCAAAGCCATGAGAGCTTATATTCAAAGTGGACAATATCATACAATTGTGGAGAGTCGTGTTCGTCTAACACCTTAAATTAGTGGATGTGGGCCTTTCATCGTATAGCAATATATACATGCGTGTAATACCATATCGAAGGAAAGAAGAGAAAAGGTTTGAGTTGGAAGAATAAAAATGAAAGATTGAATGAAAAGTGAAGCAAATTAATATAGTTTTAGGAAGCATAGGGGATAGAAGGAATGGAAGGTTAAGGATAAACCAGTATGTAAGATAAACAGGAATAATGGATTCATAAGCCGAAACCGATACCAAAAATCCCAACTTTCTTGGACCACTTTCCCAAACCATCTCTTCCTTTCGCCATAATGATTCCCCCACGCGCGCAATCCACTTCCTTTAATCCCTATATATATTGCGTCGCTTCCGGCGCCAAATTCCTCGCTCATTCTACCATTCACTCACCTCTCTCACTCCTCCGCCTAATACCCCTTCGGCATTCCTCCCTGTTCTTACCGTTCTTTCGCCATTTTCTTTCAATTTGGAAGCTGCTTTAAAACCCTCCAATCTTTTCGGGGGGTTTCTTGCTGTTCTTATCGACGCCTTGAATTGGGGGTACGACCCAATAAGGCATCCATGGCTTCTCAGGTGTTGGTAGCTCTTGCACTTTCGCTTGTTGGTGGATTCAGTACTTCTCTAGGTCAGTACCAAGTTTTTTCTTTAATATGCTTTGTGGGTGTTGTCTGTTTCTTGTTTTATTTTCGTTTGTTCTTTGTTCTTGATCATCTTTGGTTATGTTTTCATGTATTTGGTAGTTGGGTCTTGAGGCCAAATTTAATTTGAAATGTTTCTTGAATAATATGTAGAATCTTTCAATTAGTGAACATAGAATCTTTAAATTTGGGGACTTAGTTACAATTCGTAGTGGCATGGTGTCCCTATTGAGCCTTGACACCTGCTCATCACTGCTGGTCCATGAGCATTTCAAAGCACCAGACTCATTTGTGTTCATAACATTTGGAACAGGTGCACTTTTGGTGATTCTTAGCGGTGCCCCAAATCTGAAGATGCTCGGTCTCTTACAGGTGATGCTTGGAAGTTTCATTTTTTGGTTGTTTTGGAGTGGGAGTGTAGCTTTGTAGCATAAATTCAATCCTGGATTCGTCTAAATGACCTGGTCTTAATTGCAGGGCTTTGCTGCTGGTTTAATGCTGAGCATTTCGTTCCTGGATTTAGCTCATAATGCTATTAATTCAATTGGGTTCTTGAAAGGAAATCTTTGGGTATTTGTCATAAGCCTTGATTGAATGATTTCTACCTGTACACTTCCGAAATGACATGTTGTTGGTACTGCAGTTTTTTGCAGGTGTGATCTTGTTTGCTTTTGTTACTCATTTTGTCCCAGAACCCACACTTGCTCCTGGTTCAGATATCAATAGAAAGAAGGTAGCAAAGCCTTATTAAAAAGATTGATATCAATTTATCTCTAGAATTTGACACTATATTGGATAACAGGACGAGGATGATGGGGGAAAGGATGTTATGAAAAAGCATCGTCGTCAGGTTCTATTCAGTGGCATAATAACAGCAATAGGTACTCATACAACTACCATGTACAAATGGTATAAGTTTATGTTCTCTATCAATTTGTCCAGTAACGTGTCGGTTTATTTAAACTCGATGGTCAGGCTAGTTGAGTGCTTAGGCAAATACATGGAATGATGCTCTTGAACAATTTACTTTCACCATAGAACCACACGTCCTGAGAAGTGAAAACATCATTGATTTAGTTTACTGAAATGCAGGCATAAGCTTACATAACTTTCCAGAAGGAATGGCTGTTTTTCTTGGATCGATTAAGGTATATCGTAGCGTATCCCTTTCTTTAATTTAACTTGGATAATGTAGAATATATTTGTATCACAACTATTATTCTTCATTGATTTGGAGATTTATAAAGGAAGATCCACCGGGAATTCGTTGGCGATCTTATCGTTTTTGGTTTTTCTGAGACATATTGCTTATTCGTTGGCGATCTTATGTAGGGTCTTCGTGTTGGTCTGAACTTAGCCTTAGCCATTGCCTTGCACAATATACCAGAGGTATCTTCTCTAACTTGGGACATTGTCACTGGTCGGTGGACGTTGGTTCTCTTACATTTGCGTGACGATTAACATTAAATTTCTTGGTCGTAACAATGAATGTTCTACCTTGTCTTGTTTGTCCCAAATCGTTCCCTGTTTCAATTTTGGACCTTGTACCTCCTTAAACAGATAAGAACTCAAAAGGTGTGTGAAAGTGTTCGTTTTAGATGTCATAATTATAAATATGTTGTAACATGTGGGATCCCATGTCGGTTGGAAAGGGAAACATAAGGGTGTGGAAACCTCCCCCTAATAGACGCGTTTTAAAAACCTTTAGGAGAAGCCCGAAAGGGAAAGCCCAAAGAAGACAATATTTGCTACTGGTGGGCTTGGGCTTGGGCTGTTACGTAATACCTCTCATTAGCATCATCCAGTCAATCAGTTTCTTTGGACTTTGATTGATGCTGAAATAAAAATGCCACTAGGAAATTATGTATGATTTGTCTTGTATTATTATGCAGGGTGTAGCTGTTGCGCTTCCTGTTTACTTTGCTACACAGAGGTTAGTACTTAACTTCAGCTTATGCTATGAATTGGGGTGAAGTCAAGGTTTTCACCATATCTAATTGAAAGGATCGAATATTGTAAACTTATAGTTGGTTTGTTGGTCTCAGCAAATGGCAGGCATTCAAGTTGGCTACTCTCTCTGGCTTTGCTGAGCCCCTTGGTGTTATAATTGTAGGTAAGTCCACCTGCATCATATACGAGCTGAATCTACATGTTCTTTCCCTAAACACTTATTTTCCCAAGTGATCGTTATGCATTAATGTAATAGTAAGCAACGTTAATGATACGTGAACGTCAATGTTAGTGTGAGATCTCACATTGGTTGGAGAGTGGAACAAAACTTTCTTTATAAGGGTGTTTAAAGAGGATAATATCTGTTAGCGTGGACTTGAGGCCTTCCAATGTTGGATAGTGATATCATTTACGGGCTTAAAATATGAACATTTGACGAAAATGTATCGATTATACTGGCAGATTTATGATTATAACTGCACTTTTTTTGTGCAGCCTACTTGTTTCCAAGCAGCTTGAGTCCTGAAATTCTTGAAGGTCTACTAGGATCTGGTATGGTAAAGCATGATACCTACCTACCTGTATTGGGAGCTCCAGGATTAGATTTTGAATTCTTCTTTTGGACTCTGTTTTATTGTATGTATTTGTTGATTATTTCCAGTTGGTGGAGTAATGGCGTTCCTAACTCTGCATGAAATGTTGCCTTTGGCATTTGATTATGCTGGACCGAAGCATGCCGTGAAGGTCGTCTTCTTAGGAATGGCCTGTATGTCCGCAAGGTAAGAAAACATGGTTCGAGGCGCGTGTGGATCGTTCGTTTGTTCTACTTTGTCTATACATGTATCTAATGTAGCAATCTCACTGGTTTTGCAGCCTTTATTTTCTGGAAATGAGCCTGCCGAAGGATTTGAGCTTATAGTATAGCTTGTGTTCCCTGTCATTTCATTTCATTGTTGTAAATGACAAATATAAACTCTTGAGCTCATCAGAAAGTGAAAAATGAATATGAGTGTTGATTCTGGTATGAATGGCCCCATCTCATGATTGTGTGCTTTCTTTAACGTTGTGATGTCCTCTGGGCTTGCATATCAAAGGAAAGTAAGTGCAAGTTTAAAGAAAGATGTGATTTTGATGGGCAGACCATGAAGAAGGATTCCAATCTTGTCAGCACTTTAAATTTTTCTTTTTCAAAGGGAAATTTACCTTAAACCATTTTGCTGATGAACACAATAATAATAATAATGGTGTATGTTGAAGAGATTCATGGGTTCCATAACTTTCATGTGCCTCATTTGAGTGTATCTTGTTTAAAGCTGGAGGAATAAAGATATTAAAGCAACCCCCTAAGAGAGAGAGAGAGAAAGCAAAACCCACCCCAAGCTTTATTGGGAAGAGGAAAAAGAAACCTTTTAGATTCAACGATGTTTCAACACAGCGGTTGGACTCCTAAACCCTTCTTCTTCTTCCCTTTCAATAGTCGAGATCCCAACCTTATCGACCACTAGAGCTTTACTAATTAATGAACCGAGTCTAACGGGTCACGACATGTTGATATTGATTGAGTGGTATGGTAAATGGCATTTATAAATGTGAGAAAAAGGGATAATTCGGACTGACTCAGTCCAGAGTGAAAGCAAAAGTTAGAAAAAAAAGCATATTGGAATTATGAGAGCTATGAGAAT